AGATTTAATAGAGATATATAAAGTAGGATTAAGTCCTTCCGTAATGGCAAGAAATAACCATAGTTAAAAGTTTGGGGCATGTCCTTCATACTTGTAAACACATGTATGAATATATATTTTAAGCATGAATATATATTTTAAGCATATATGCCCTCATTCAACATGTACATTTTTCTACCTCAGTGCATATAGTTCTGCCTCATCTTTTCATTCATTATGTAGATCTGCTATAATTTATTAATCAGTTCTCTGATGATATCCATTCAGGTTGTTTTTTATTTTTTTCTAGAATAACACTGGACATGAGCATATGTCATTACTTGTCCAATTATTTCCTTGGAGTAAATTCCTGGGAATAAAACTCGAGGCAAAAATATGTGTATTTTTTTCATTATGAATATTTATTTATAGCTTTTTTGAAATTGAACTGCCAGAAGCTTACACCAATTTATATTCCTGTCAACAATGGAAAGTGTCCATTCCACCATACTTCTCTAGTATTTCTAATTTTAACAACATCTTTATAAATCTGACAGGTAAAAATATTTCTATTTATATTTCTTTGGTTATAAATGAGCTTGAAAATATTACTGTATCAAGAGATCAGTGCCACTTTAAAAGGATCTGATGCCTTTGTTTTCTGCCCTTTTTCCTTGAAATTATGGTAGGATTCCAGATATGAAAATTAGCAATTTTAAGTCATGGAGTCAGAAGAATAATTACAGGCGTGGGTATAGAACTTCCATCCCCTGTAAATTTGTGTCATCATACGCATACTATTTTCTTGAAACTGTGGGAGAGAATGACCCTTAACAGTTTCTAATAAACATTAGCTGTTAGGTAAGTGCCTTGTATTACCTTATTAAAACCAAGTGTAAAATAATATTTATTTTCCTCTTTTAATACATATAAGTGTTTCTCAATCTTGTTTATTATTATTTTTTTGCCTCCCAAGGAGCCCTTTTAGACATTTTCCCTTTAATTGCTCCTCCATGATATTTGATACCATAGATATACTGTGTACTTATTTGTCTTATTTGTTTATGTACAGTGGCCCTTTGGAAGCCCACACACCATGGTATTTAAGATTTTTTTTAGCCCTTCCAAGAACAAACTTTACCCCCTTTGGGGTGATGCTGCCCGCAATTAAGAATGCATGATTGAGGGGATAGGAGAAAAAGCTTTGCTATGCATGAGTAGTTTTTTAGTTTCATGGGACTCAGAGAGAGGTCACCGTTCTCTTACTTTCAGGTGGTCCAGAAGGGGACATTAGGTTTAACAGTTCCCACCGTTTTCTAAACTAGTCTGCTATCAAATTCTAGACATAGTGCCTTGAGGTACTTAAGTTACCTAGAATATTTGGGTATAGTATTTCCATTCGTGAGAACATTGGTAATTATGGCAAGGACACAGTGACATTACTATAGCTGAAGGCATTTTGTTGAATTTAGGGAATAGTAGTCTTAATGTAGTAGGAATAATAGTAAATGTTTTAACCTCTATCTCGTTGGTTCTCATTAAGTGGTGATTCTGCCTCCCAGAGGACATCTGCAGTAATTGGGGGCATCTTTGGCTGTCACAACTGGAAGAGTGGGTGTTGCTAGTGGCATCTCGAGGGATACTGTTAAACATCCTGCAGGGGAAAGTGTCTCCCCTGTCTTCCCACCACCACCACCCCCTTCCCCCCTACCCCGCCGCCATAACCAAGAAGTATATGGTCCAAAATGTCAGCACTGCCTAGGTTATGAAACCCTGTTCTAGCCCAGTGATTCTACTCCTTGGAATCTGTCTTTACAAAACAGTCTAAAATACAAAAACGTGTGTGTGCATAAAGATACTCGCCAAAGTGTTACTTTTCCCTTTGCAATGTTCTTTTAGAAAATTCACTAATACAAAAAACATAAAATTACTCACAATCCCCCTCACAAATAATGTTGTTGGGATTTTGGTGTATGTGTATTTTTGTAATTGGGGCATATATCACTATATATAATTATGAAAAGTGGGGAATGAACTTAATTCTTTGAAGAACAAATTGCTGGTTACCAGAGGGGAGGTGGGGGCGGGGGTGTGAAATAGATGCTAGTGCCTATCCTGAGGAGCACTGATGGGACACTGTATGTTAACTACACTGGAGTTAAAATTACATAATAAAAAAACCTAATTCTTTGAGACTTAGAAGAGATTTGATTGCCCATGGCAGGACTACATCAGTTTCAGGAACACTAATTAATTGGCAACTACTTCAGAGATAAATTAACTCAGCCATTTCAGGAATTCTTTATACAGTACCCTTCAACCTCTCTGTGTCCATTCTTTCACTTCAATCCTCTGCTCTGAATTACTGTTTGCAAATGCTTTTACACTACTACAGAGTTGAAAGGTACAGGCAGTTTTTCAATGAAGCTAACTTAATTTTGTGTACCAGTAGAGGGAAATGATAGGCCCATCCCTAGGGAGTGTCTTTTATTTTTTTCTATACTATAATTTAATATGGAAGAACAAGTGATAGAAAATTAGAAGCAATCATAATGTCAATCAGTAGAGAATGGATAAATAGATTTTGGAATTTTTCACAAAATGAAATACTGTACGACGGTTTAAATTAATGAACTAATCTGTATGTATTATAAATCTAAAGCATAATGTAAATGAAAAGCAAGGCATAGGATATTTAGATAGAGTATGATAACTTTGAAGTAAATGTTAATATTACACAAAATACTATATTGTTTATAGGTATGTGTGTGTATATATACATAAAATAAAAAACCATGGATGGCAAGAATACACACCCAGCCTCAGGAAATTAGCTACCTCTGATGATGGATGGGAAGGGAATTTGATCAAGGAACAGTAGAAATAACTTTTTATTCCATAGAAGAAAAAAATATTTCAAACAAATATGGCAATATGCAAGTTGGTTTAATCCTGAATATGGGTACATTGAGTGTTCTTTATACTCTTTTTCTTTGTTTTTGAAAAATTGCAAGGTCACATTTTTTAAAAGTAAACGTACTTTTCAAATTTGTTCATGTTTGAACTGAGACCAAATATGGAAAGATTTTTATAATAGTCCTAATTTAGCAATGTATATATAATAAAACAGTATTGAACGACTTCTTTACAATCACAACTAGTTAACTATAGCAAATAAAATTATTTCCAAGGGCTTTTCTTCCTTTGTTTTTGGAATGCTAAGTACTTTCTGAAGGTATTTAGGGTCTACTGAATGTTAAGAAAGATAAATGGTTCTTGAAATTATTCAAGCAATGTTTGGAGTAATTGAATATGATTTACAATTCCATAAGATGACGAATTCATAATCTTTTTTCTCCCCTATAACTTAACATGGAAAAAACAAATATATTTAGAAAGAAACCATATAATACATTAAGATTAAAAAATCAGTTTATATTTCTTACTAAGAAATGTGGAATTGGGTGCCTAGGTGGCTCAGTTGGTTGAGTATCTGACTTGGTTTCGGCTCAGGTCATGATCTCAGGGTTGTGAGATCTAGCCCTGTGTTGGGCTCCATACTCCAGTCAGCACAGAATCTGCTTGAGATTCTTTCTCCCTCCCTCCCCCCCGCCATGCTTGCACTCATGCTCGCTCGCTCTCTCTCTCAAATGAATAAATAAATAAATAAAATCTTTAGGAAAAAAAGAAATGTGGAATCTCTGAGCCTCTTGATGGTGATATGATGTGATACCTGTTTGGCAGATAACAAACATTGCAGAGTGTTTTGTTTTGGAAGAATTGTTTATTTAAAACCAGGAACTGTTATATTTGCATTCAGATTTTTTTTAGAGTTTTTTCCTGAGATTTTAGACATCTGGTCTTTAAATTAGTAAAGGGTGCTTTATGCCTTTGTTCTATCAAAAAAACAAATACTAAACTTAACATGATTGTTTCTTGTATGATAAATGGCACTTTCAACATAAGCATAATCAAGCATATTTTTTTCTAGCTCAAGCCAAAAACTGTTTTGTTATTAAAGAAAACTTCCATAAGCAGATCTGTGATAGACTTGCCATAACAGAAGGATTTTTACTTGCTTTTATGGTTATTATCTTCTGACAAAAAGTTGACTAAATCATATAAATGTTTAGTGAGAGATACTTAGATTGTATTAAAAGAAAATTATTTGAGATTTTGGAGCCATGCTGCTAAGGGATAGATTTCTAGTGATGCTAGTCATTTGCTTGGACATGCTGTTGTCCATTAACTTGCCAGTGGGTTGTTAGAAATTTCTTCTAAGTAAGGAAAACATGTAAAACCATCATATAGTGAAAACATTTAAATTTCTCTGTTGGATTCAGTATTTCGAACATTAAGTTTTTTTTAAAGAAAGAATGGCATATAGTGTCACCAAATTTAGCTATGTCAAATAGAACATGTGGTCATTATGCTAAAATTAGACATTTAGTGAATTATTACTGTTGATCCTGTATCAAACCAAAGTTTAGACCTGAAAGCAAAAGGACTCTAGCTCAGAGTGCGTTCTGCTTAGCAACCAACTTGTTGTCCACTGTTTTGCTACTGAATGCACGTACTCATGGCTCAGAAGTGTGTCTGCAGCCAGCTGGTCGCAACCAGACAACACTTCATTCACCTAATTTCCAGACTAGTTAGGCAAAGACATCAGCTCATTGTTTTTAGAGATGAGCAAATTTGTTTGTAAACTTCAAGTAGTAACACACTGATTTCAAAAGCCCCTGAACTGTGAGAAATTGCCTTCTAATTCAGGAATGTGAAGTCCTTGTAATTCATAACTGCTGCACTTAATTTTGTTTTCCTCTTGAAAATCCTTACAGGTATGTTGTTTAAAAAACACAGCCTCTGAAATCTTAGAAAAGAGAAAATAGAAAAGATACATTAAATCATTAAATTCGAGGAATACTTTTTGAATTAGTATCTGAAAACAAAATTCAAGAGGTTTGATCTATGCTCAAACTTTTATTGTCTGCCTTAATCCTTATAAGATTATCTTCTAATTTAGAAAACAACAGTTTTGTTGGCATGTGAAGCTCCAGTTTCCTCAGAGTCAAGCTGTGTACATAGAAAAAAGGTATAGTATTACCACTATTAAGAACTTCTTTGTTCTTATTGTATTTTTGTATTTACAATAAACTGTTAACTTAAATGTGATATCATTAAATGTATGTCAGGAGTAGAATGGATAACTTAAGTTGTTATCTTTGAAGTTGTATACCAGACTAAAGTCACAGAAAGGACTTAAATTTTATGGATAGGGATATATAGCACAATAGTATATATGAATATGTATAATTGATTGAGGAAAGTTACTCATTCAAAGCAGTGTCTTAATTTTGTTTTTACAGATTTATAGTTCTAAACAATGTGCATATTTACCAGAAAGTTGAAAAACCTGAAATCCTTTATTTCCAGGGAAAGTAGTATCAGTTTTTTACCCTGGCCTTATGATTTAGAATGAATAAACTCGAACATGCACTGAAATTAGCATCATCTGCAACCTTTTTTCAGATTTTATATTTCTGCAACTTTCAAATATATTTCACTCTGAGTTCTTCTCATCTGTGAGCACAGGTGTGTGTTAAAAGAGGCTTCATATTTTTATAATTGATTTATAGGGAGCTTCTCAAAATATTGCTTTTTAGGACTTTTTAAGTGTGTCCAAAAAGTCTTTTTGAGCTTTTTTCCTAAGTAATTTTTGTTTAAAAGGATGTTATATTTTGCCAAGAGTAAAATAAAAGGTCTGTGTTCAGTCATTTAAACAAAAAGCCACAAGATTTAGTAATTCCAAGTTAACACCATTAGTAGAAACTTATAATGTAAGTTTTGTCTTTTTTTGTTGTTCTTGTTGTTGGGAAGAGTACCAGATGATAAAACTATTAATGAAATCATAAGACCTTACATTGATCCTGAAAAATCCGATCCTGTAATTCGTCAAAGGTATGGTTCAAAAATCTTGTAATTTTCTGACATTATGAAAAATGTTGAGGTACTGGTTATGTGTGTATTTATTATGTAAAGCTATGACTTTGTTAGAATGTGGTATGTCAGTGCAGTTTACTTTCTGTGCCATTTCCTTGGTGTTTCCCCAAAGCTTTGTCAGTCATGGGTGATGCTTTTAGATAGCGATAAAAACAGTGCGTAATACTTAGTATTTACTGTTTTCCAGATCCTCATTGAAAGAGATAATAAATATGTGTTAATTTAATCTTCACAGTAACCCTTTAAGGTAGATATTGCTATTATACCCATTTTGCAGATGGGGAAACTAAGCCTTAAAGTGGTTAAATGATTCATATAGCAAATAAGCAGGGAAGCTGGGATTTAAACCCAGGCAGTCTGGAATCAGAGTCTGCACTGTTAGCTCTCAAATCAAACTTCTTTAAAGTTGAATCAAAAACATTGAAAATTAAGAGTTTCCAAGTAACTGTTAAAGACAGGGAATTCTGTTTCAGCCAAGTCTTCATAAAACTAATTAAGATACACTCTGCCTCCTGTCCAGAAATACAGCATTAACAAAAATGGTTAACCTAGAGTAGTAGAAAGATTCAGTTATGAATATCTGGGCTAGAATAGCTCACTCTGTCCCTTTTTAGCTGTGTGACCAAGGAGTAAGTTACTTAACTTCTGGACCTTAATTTTTTCATCAGTAAAATGAGAATGATAATATCCACTAGCTAAGGTTATTTGAAGCTTCAAAAAAAAAAAGCATATATAAATTTCTAGTACAGGGCCTAGCACACAGTAGGCAGTTTCCCAAAAAGGGAAACTATTATTAGAGTGTGAATTAGTTTTCCTGAGCAGGAACCCCTTTGACTTTGTTTTCTCCAGATGGTACCTGCTTGGGATATGAATGCTTGGTTTGGTTCCAGAGTAACCTGGTGTTTAAATTTTAGACTGGGTGGATTCTAAAATGTCTGATCCAATTCTAGTTAAATTTCATCTTCTACTTCTAATAAAAAGGTTGCCCAGACTGAACCAGATCCATGCCCCATATCAAGTAGTGTCTTTGGCACACGTATAGTGGTTCCTTCTTATTATTCCTTCTTATTACTGATAATCTAGTTGTTACCATTGGTCATGTGTTTGGCAGTAAGACAAAGTACCTGTCACTAAATTGGATACATTTATTTAAAATAAATAAAATATCAAGTTTAACTTAATTTAACTGAAATAGATATTTTTTAATTCAAGATATTTTACAGAGAGAAGAAAGGTAATTTTTTAAAATTCAAATCCTTGGTTAGAAAATATCTTTAACGTCTTTTCTATGCTTGGATAGTTGAATTTTAAGTATTATTAGCTACTCATAAATGTTTGGTCTTTCATAGATACTATCTTGAAATATGTTAAAAATCGGTTTTGCTTCCTTCAATATGACATTTTTATTTCAGGTTGAAAGCCTACATTCGCTCTCAAACTGGGGTCCAAATTTTAATGAAGGTTGAATATATGCAGCAAAACTTAGTAAGGTAAAATTGCTTTCCTCCCCATTTCTTTATATACTTTCTAATTCTGTAATATAATTAAGTAGCTTGATTAGCTTAAGTAGCTGATTATTATACTACTATGATTTTCAAATTAAAATTTTAAAATAATCACACTTATAGAATAAGTTCAATTGAAAAATTACTCTGGTTAAGATATTTTAAAATGGCATTATGTACAAGTAAAAGATTCCTAATTCCCATTTTAACTTACTTCAAGAAATACTCTCTACAACAGAGTTTGAGTGTTCACGTTTTTGCCTTTGGAAATGCAAAAATTCATGTGATAACTGAGCATTGCATGTATTGCTTTCTCTGCAGAGAAATGTAAAGAGAGCTGGGTTCTAACAAACCATATTATTTGAGAAAGTTCTTAACTTTACTGGGCTCTGTTCCTTCATTAATGGAGTAGTAAAATAGACTACACCAAACAATCTCTGGGAGTCTCTACAAAGTCTGCTTATGTGCCAGTTTTGTTGTTGTTGTACTGAATTACAAAACACTGATCTTTATGACCTTTGATGCTCTTCCATTGTTCAGTTAACAAAACTACTAGAATCAATTCAGACTGTATCTGGTCAGTCTCACCTGTGATTTGACTTGTTAGCGTAGCGTAGAGGTTTTAGAGTCCAAGCTGTGAAACCCAGCAGAGCTGGGTTGAAATCCCAGGGGTACCTGGGTGGGTCAGTTGGTTAGCGTCTGCCTTCGGCTCAGGTCATGATCCCAGGGTCCTGGGATGGAGCCCTGAGTCGGAGCCCCCTGCTTAGCGGGGAGCCTGCTTCTCCTTCTCCCTCTGCCGCTCCCCCTGCTTGTGCGCCCCCCCCCGTCTCTCTCTCTCTCTCTCTGAAATCAATAAATAAAATCTTAAAAAAATAAAAAAGGTTGTCGTGAAAGATTAAGATAGTTCATTCAGCACAGGGTAAGTGCATGCTTTTATTATAACTACTCCAGATAAATGGATTCTTACAAAATGTCTACACATAAGATTGTAAGACTTGTAGCTAAGAACAGATTTAAACACCAAATCTTGACCACCTTTTACCAACATATCTCAAATACTCTCAACTTCATATCACTGATCATGGTTCAGTGATAAAAAAAATTCAAGTTTTCTGTCACATAGTTTTTTCCCTAGGCTTCTTAATTCAGTATATTTACATGCAGTTCATGCTTTAACTCTCCTCCTTCCCCTGAAAGATTCGGAATCTCAAATGAGAGAGGGATAGAAGGTTTTGTGGGTTTTGCAAAGAGAGTTTATTCAGTTGTAACATCCATGCTAACCAAAATCAGTATTTCTCAAATTGGTAATCAAACATTTATGTAATTAGTGAGAAATACTGATGTAAAAGGTGCATTCTTTCAGTTTTGCCTAGCAAAATCTTAAAGTAAATTTCATACAATTCATGATTAAACAAAACAATTTGCAACATTCCCTTGGAATTTACCTCCTGTCAGTCATTAAATAATTTCTCCTCCTTTTATTATCTGTTATCTCATTCAAATTCAGTTCCTTTCTTAACATTTACTATATCTTATTTAGTTAATTCTTGTAAATGTTACTCACATTTATGTGGTGCACTCTTGATGGGTGTACTGTGCCTTCAGTCTCATAAGCCCGTTAAAAGAACACCTGTGAGGGTTTTTATGAAAAATGAAATTGTTTTCTGGATAGTTGTCTCATCTCATCTTCTCTAGGCCATGGAACTAATATATACTCTCCCAAGTCTTCTCATGACAACTTGCTGATGTGTCCAACATTCTAACACTTCTGTACCACTCTGAGCATTTACCAGCTCCTGGTGCTAGACTGCCAGTGTGGGGATAACATGTAAATGGCTCCAGAAGGATTGGAAGGGAGACAGTAAAAGTGCTACCCATCCAACTGATTGCTTCATCATTTTCCTTTGTTGTACTTATCAGACTTTGAATAATTACAGATAGCAGCCATTGGCTACTATTTTAATGGCTCCATGAATGCAATTATTTGTTTTCTTAATAAGTATGTGTTTGAAATACCATATTGCTTTTCTAGACTTGATAAAAATATTTTGGTGAGATTGGCCATCATCTTGACCACAGTCACCCTGTTTACCTAATCTGTTCGGCAAATAATGAAATTTTTTTACCAAAGCTAAGGAAAACAACCCATTATAATTTTGGTACAACTGCTAAGAACAAAAGGTTGGGGTTTTCTTTTTCCTTTTTTGTTTTGTGTTAGTTATGATTTTTATTTTGTTTCTTTGTTGTTTCCATTTTTATTTCCTCCATTACCAGAAAGAGAAGGTTTGCTCTATTTTTATTTTAAGTCAAGGCAAACTGGGGAGTGGCCAGTGAAGAAATGTGCCAGCTCACTGAGCCAATCAAACTTGACTCTTTGGCATTAGTATCCTCTTCTTGCAAAATTCAAGGAAACCCAAATTGTACATGTTAAAAGGTGGATAACTGAGTATTTTAAAGTTTATAATACAGGACAGGCTGTTTGGGCGCAGATAGCATTCATTTTTAATTTGGAAATGTGTGCTATAAATGCTTGAAGAGCAAAGAGGATAGAGATTTCGAGATGGAGATCTCAGCATGTCCTAGCAGACCAGGGTTTTCCAGGAGAGTGGCTGGCAGAAATGCCTATAGCATGACATGATCCAGAGGGGAGCAGTTGGGAAAATCATTTCACGCAATTGCATTAGAAAGACATCAGGATAGAGAGAGACCAGAGCACAGGAAGATACCAGTCAGATTGGAAAGGTTTATTTTAACAGAGAGGGTAAACCAGAACCCAAAATAAGGTCAGAGAAGTACACTGAATGACCTAATTCTAGGCACTCAATTTTTCTGTGTTTCATTTTCCTTTAAGGTCCTTTATTTTCTCTTATTTTATACCTTCTTTAGGAACCAGTAGAGGATCAAAGTTGGGTCTTGAGTTAACCTTAATCCCCAAGGGGAAAAGAATGATAGATTAATAAAGTAAAAGGTGAGTGTTGTTCAAGGAATACCTAGAATAGGCTGTTTTGATACTAAACCTGAGCCAATCTGAATAAAATGAAAAGTATTTTGGCTTTTCTCTTATCTATATAAAAAACTTGCCATCCAAATTTCCCCATTTGAGTTGTTTATTTGAACTCAGTGATCTATGAAAACATTAGGAAGAAAGGGAAGGTTACAACCTAGGTCCTCGGAAACTCCAGTGAAGGAGTTTTTATTCTAAATTGGGATAAGGTACATCATATATTTCTGATTGTTAAGTCAGCTTCATGATACAGTGATCCTAATTTCTATAAAACTTCCCAGTTTTCAAGTATTTTTCTAATCATGACTAATGAAATTAGATACATGAGAATACTTTCAGAAATAGATTTTCATTTGATTTTTTAATTAAAGATTTTTTATATCATAGTGTTTTTCAGATAATGCATTCATAGATAGGATAAGATGAGCACTTAACATATGATTGTATACTTAATTACACTTTTAATTATCATTAAACATTCAGAGAACGTCTAAGTAAGATTTTATAGGTTTTAAAGTGTTAGGCTTCTAATATAAGATAAGCATGCTAAAATAGGAGGATTTTATTATTTCCTAAAAAGTACTTACAAGGCAAAAACATGTAGTTTCCTTGTGGCTGTTGATTTTAAATGTATCCTATGATTTACAGCATTCCGATGACTCCAGAGTAAAGTCTTTTTACCAAATACTTGATGTTGCTAGTTTCTACTGGTTGTGTTTTCCATTCTTGGAGGGTTTATGATAGTTGTCTCATGATATACCTGATCAGCTAGAGCAATCTTAAATGTTTCCCAGTTTTTAGCTTTGCCATACATGACTTTTATTTTTAGATTGATTATAGAATGCATGTCTAACCCTAAGGAATTTGCTGCTGATCTGTTCGGAAATTTTCTTTCCAGAATACACAGAGTTTGAATTTGTGTTTTCTTATAAGAGCTAATACGGCTTCTTAAGTAAATTCATGTATTCATTCACTTGCAGACAGTGATACCCACTGTGGTCCAGGTGGGTATTCCAGACATTAGGGTGTAAGGAGAACCATTCCTGCCCCTGTGGGGCTTACATTCTCAGTGGAGGAGAATTCATGAAAGGGGCTTGTGTTAGCAGGCCACCCTTTATCTCTTGCCACATCATTTCTTAACCAGTTCTCTATTCTCAGAAAGTAAATGAGTGGTTTTGAAACAGAAAAACCTATGTTGGTAATGCCAAACCTATGTTGGTAATGCCAGGTACTATAAGAGGCAGTCATTGTATTGCTGCTCACTTAAGTTGTTACTGACTGAAGAATTTAGAATACTCCCAAGTTTGGTACTATTCATTCAATTGTAATTTTCCAAATCTGTTTTCTGTATTGTATTTACTAATGAAACCATTTATTTCCCATAAGGAAGTTGAGATACATTTTCCATTCTTTATGTTTACTTTGCTGCTTTGATGTTTATGTAAGGTCCTTTTTATTTTGGGGTTTTTTTCTTTTTTTAAGATTTATTTATTAGAGCAAGACATCGGGAGGGAGGGGCAGAGGGAGAGAGAATTCCAAGCAGACTTCACTCTGAGCACGGAGCCCAACGTGGGGCTCAATCCCACAACTCCTCAAGATCCAAGACCTGAGCCAAACCAAGAGTCAGGTGCTTAACCAACTGCATCACCCACACGCCCCTATAAGGTCCTACTTTTGATAAAGATGTGGTTTAAGCTATTATGGGATAATTCTTGCCAAATTTACTCAAAAACCATTAATTAAGCACATTTTATCTTTGAAGGATATAAATAAAAACTGGGGTTTATACAAGAATGAATGGGGAAAACAAACAGGAAGCAAAGGTGACTGACTAAGGTTCCTGGCATGGATCTGTTTTTGGAGAGATGCAGGTAGGACCTGGAGAGTCTTAGGGCACATTGAGTTTTAAGTAGAAGTGGCATCATTTTCTGGAACATTATTTTTAAAAACAATGGCCTTTTGGGCGCCTGGGTAGCTCAGT